CGCTTAAGCCCAGGAGTTGGAGGTTGCTGTGAGCTGTGACACCACGGCACTCTACTGAGGGTTAATAAGTGAAACTCTGTCTCAAAAAAAAAAAAAGACTAGACAATGAATATTTTAGTTTTCGCAGGATACATGCCATCTATCAAATACAGTATTCATTTTTTAAAATCATTTTTAAAAACGTAAAAAGAACATTCTTAGCATGGGGGCCATACAAACAGACAGTGTGCCTGTCCTCCTTCACCTTGAGTGTTTCAGACAGACATGACTTGCAAAGGTTCAGGTCCATACACTACTCCGTACATCACCAACTCAGTGGAATAAAACGGGAAACAGGAATACTAAAAAGATTCCACCATACGACCAAATGCTAATATACCTTGAATGATGCGAAACCATACCCCAAATACCTTTCTAAAAAGTCGACTTGAACAAAAATGTTTAAAAAGCAGATTTCTTCACATATCATTATTTAATTAAAAATTGAAAGGTGGAAGTTGCTCACCACCATATGAGCATGAGGAAGTACAGACACATGAAGCAGCCATTGACCACTGCCACAAAGACGTTAAACATTTGTTTCTCTTGATTTTATTGTTCTTTTAAAAAAATATAAGTACATCTTTTACCAAGACGGGTTAGAATGTGTCTAGGGCACAGAACCCACCGCTGCAGCTCACTTCTCTGCTGACTTTCAGTAGCACGTGAAAAGTTCTGTTTCCCAACTACAGGGAATTTTTGCTGTTCTCTCAGAAAATAATTTAGTAATAACAAAACGAAGGCCATTAAGCCTTCCACGTGCTCCTGAAATGAGTGAGTGCTTTTACTTGCATCTGAAAGTGTGGGACGGCAGCTCCTGACAAGGAGTGATGAGCAGACACATTGACACGCTGCAGTGCTTTTGAGCTTTTGAAATCCCGTGTTGGTTTGACGTGAAAGCTTCCAACAAAAAGCTTGTGTTTTAATCTCACTTGAAGGTCACCTGCTTGCTTCATTATGGCTTTGAATGAAGTCCTGCTATTAGGGACTGCATTACCAAAGCGACTCTACCCTAAAGACCTCCAGGGTCCAGGAGCAGAAGTCATCCCCACGCCAGGGCAGAGGACTTGGGGAAACTAATGGTTAGGGTTTACCTAAAGGGGACGGAGATTTCCCACAGCCCCTGGCTGACCTGAAAATTACTGTGAAATTCGAATACCTCTAAAAACCTCAAAGAGAGGTAAATTAAAAAGACTCAGAGGTACACTCCCACAATTTAAAAAAAGGCACGTGCCCATTCTGTTCTCCACTCCTAGACATGATTTTGGTAAGCCATAAAGCATCGGGAGATTTTGTTCTGGAAGATGATTCCAGCTGACTGGGGATGGGGGTGGGAGCCTCTGAGGCAGGACATTGAAAACACCTCTGGAGACTGTTCAGGACTCCTGGGTTAGCTCAGCATGAGGGGGCTGCCTCGCCACCCATCCCTGAGAGCCCCTCCTAGAGGGCCCTGTCTGGCCCTCTTAGCAATGAGCACACCAACAGTGAGGCCGGGAATGATGACACATCTCACAGGGGCAAACAAACCCCAGGGGCCACAGCTGATGACGGCCTCAGTCATTAGCTTGGGCCACAAAGCGAACTATGGTGACTGCTGGCTCTTACATCTCAAACTAACTTAAAAAAAAAAAAACAACTTGGTTATATAAAGAGGCGAAGGAAGGTAAGAACTCCTACACAAACACCAGGGGCTTCAGCTTCCGCGGTTTTCCTAAAGCAACATCTTGACTACACCCTGGGCTGACGGCAGCGATGGTGAGGATGTGTGTGAAGGCAGCTTCCCAAATTCCAGGCGTTTTCCCAACCTTCAGACAGAGCAAACCAAATTAAGCTGACATGACAGCTGTGACAAATCTGGGCCCACAAAGTTATAAGGGTGAATATCAAAGAGTCGGGAGCAGGAGGACCTCACAATGTCTCAATTTTCTCTCCTGTGAAATGAAGAAAAGGACAGTGGCTATCTGACTTTCAGATTCCCAAGGTCGCACACAAAGCCTAGTCTCAGAAGACCCTCTAGAAACATCCACCTCTTATTTGTCAATTCAAAACTTTAAAAAATAAAAAAAAAAAACTTAAAAAAATATCCACTTCTAGAGATTATAAGTTATATGCATGCCACGGAAAAGATTCTGCATATTCTGTGTCCATCACAGACCCACTAAATTTATGGGGCTCAGGGTCCAGGGACATGGTGACATAGCTTACAGAACCCCTGAATCCAGAAGTTGCCCCAATTTTCTTTAGATAAGAAAATAACTGACACTATTAGAGGTCAGATCTGTGTTTTCCAATTGGGTGACTGGTTGCAGGAATTTAGGCTGGCGAGAAGTTGGTGCCAATTTCCTAAAGTTCTACAGACTTAAAAAGAAAAAAAAAAAAAACAACAAAGAAAGAAAATCTTCTAGGGGAAACAGTATGATGTTTGAAACTTAACTCCCAAACACAGGACATTCTCACAGAGTGACCATGAGTCAGGGCTATAGTTAAAAATGATAAAAAAAAAGGCAGTCTCAGTGGCCCTTTGCCCAGTCATAAGATACCACCTAATTCTGCCCCCAGGGAGGGGAGTAGAGGATAAAGTTAACTGAAATAATTCTCTAATTTAATAAACAAATGGCTATGGGCTAGGGATTAGCATCTCCAACCTGAAGTAGGTAGATTCTCTCCACTACTAATGGGTATATCAAAAGGCACTGACCCTTTGTCCCCCAAAGGCACGCTGGTGTTGTTTGGCCGTCTGTCACCGCTGTCCCTGTTCTTGTTCCCCCGCCCTGAGGCTGGGCCACCTGTTCGGTTTGGGGACTGATCATACACGAAGTTCCGGCAGGATGCAAGCTTGGACTCCAGTGCCTGGAGAGAAATGCACTTTTATCTCTCAAATTAATAGATAAGAACTCTTCTCTCTTACTGGGGTACCATACAAAGAACCCCAGAACTGTGACTCTCAAACTGGGGTATGCTGGAATTCCAAGGTAGGGTCCCAGAGGAATCCAATGGATCTCCAAGTCTTAGAACCACTTGCTGAAGATATTTGGGAGCTTCTTGGAAAAATCACCAACCCTACTGATTAATCCAACTCTGTCTGTAGGAAACATGAAATCAACTTCAGAACTGAGCAGTCTTTCAACTGTTCAGTATGGCGGTGGGCAGTGGCTCACCCCTGTAATACCGGCATGCCTGAGCTCATGAGTTTGAGAACAGCCTGAGCCAGAGAGACCCCATCTTCTAAAAAATTGCTGGGTGTTGTGGCGGGCACCTATAGTCCCAGCTACTTGGGAGTATACAAGAGGATCGCTTGAGCCCAAGAGTTTGAGATTGCTGTGAGCTAAGACGCCAATGTCACTCCACCAAGGGTGACCAAGTGAGACTGTCTCAAAAAAAAAAAAAAAAAAAAAAGAATTGTTCACTCTTTTGTTCACCTCATTAAATATGTAGAGTGGTGGGAAATTTGAACAAGGACTCGGCCTGATCCTAAACAGACCTGAAAGAAACCAAAAGACCACTAAGACCATCCAGGCTTCTCTGTACTCTTAACTGTGCTAAATATGTAGAGACCTGTTCACAGAAGAGAAAACCAGACAACCAGAAGTCAAAAGTAAAAACACAACAAGTGAGTCCCAAGCTTCTATATATGCTCTGCTTGATGAGCCACTGGCAGGAATTAAATTATATGGCCTTCCAGGAGTCATTTTTAACAATAAAAGAAACAACTACAAAAGAATAGTTACGGCTTAAGCACAAAAGAATCCCTCCCTGTAATTAATATAAAACCTGAAAGGCCAAATTCTTTGCCACTGGCTTTTCAAGATTCTTGAACTCCTTGAAAAAGAAGGCATATTATAAATGCCCCTCAGTTTTTTCAAATTAAGAAAAACCCACAGAAACCACCCTAGTCCCTAACTGCCTGCAGGAGAATGGTATAAGGAGATGAAGATACAACTGGAGATCAAAGGGGAGACTTGGATTCAGAGCTCTGGGTGTCTGGCAGGAACTCCCACTGGAAGCTCAATGATTCCTAGGGATAGGAAAGGACCTAGATAGGATCACACCTACGACTCAAGACATTTCTGTTATAGGAAAAAGGAACAGGTAATATTAACCCTCTAATATCTTGAAAGACGGGTGAGGCATGACAAACCCCAGGGGGCCCAGTCTTACCCCTACTTTCCGCAGCAGGTCTCCCACAATGTTGAGGGCTGATATCCGAGCTGCAGGTGTGAGGGGGGTCCCTCCCATGGAGTCGTCCAGGCCTGGGTGTGCAAAGGAAAGGGCATGTTACACACCAAGTACAGTCCTATGTACCAATGTCTCTTAGGTTTGAAACCCTGGTGTAGGGGAGTGAAGCTGGCCCCTTCCTGTAGACTTGGAGGCTGCCCTATGTCATTCAACTGTGCAATACACCAACAGCCTATCTGATGTCCAACTTTTCCAGTCCTTATGATGATGATATTAAACATTTATTTTTACATGTTATTCTTTTTTTTTTTGAGACAGAGCCTCAAGCTGTCCCCCTGGGTAGAGTGCC